ACAACCCCCCACCCCCCTCGCCCCACCACCACCACACACACACACACACACACACACACACACACACACACACACACACACACACACACACAAAGTTTTTTGGATCAAAACTGAAAACTGTTCTAATAGATGAATTACTAAATAGTTAATAGTTTTAGTATAAAAAGGAAAAATGGCAGCTTTGGATTGCCTTGAATTATAACGGAAGCATCCTCTCATATTATCTATGGAATGAATAAACTTTTTACTAATTTTTTCAATACATTTGAGGCATTCTCTAGTGTAAATCAATGGCTTATGAGTTATTTAAAAAGCTATAATGCTCCTGTTCCGAGACGCAGAATTTAGCTGGTGCAGAGGTGAGCTGAAAACAGCGGGATTGCTCATTATTATTAATCATATGCATACACGGGAATGCAAATTCACAGTGTGAGGATTTTCAAATCCTAGCATTTCACAGTCCATTTTCTATCAGAAGCTAACACATGAGACAGGTGTAGAGGACTGTTTTCATGTTCAGCCTGCATGAAAAAATCTAAGTGACTAATTATAATCACAAATAACTAATAAATGGCTTTTCAGTCAACCGCACCTTTAATTGTGATTGTTTTGTCAGAGAGAAAATGTGCTCTAAGGATTATAAAATAAATGCTCAAAGGTGAGATCAAGCAGCATTTTCAAATGTAAAAATTCTGATTCATTTTAAACGTCTTATTCACTGAGGAACAGTGTTACAGTTGTTCTAGGTAGAAAATGATGAGTCATCCGGAGTTTCACGTACACGCTGAAGGTGAACAGTTTTTTCATGCTCTACGGCCATCATTAGCCACAGGGTGGAAACAGACGGGGAAACGGTCAGGTCGTGAAAATGCCGGGATCTTCTACATCACTGGTAAAACTGGCATTCATGGCCCCACCCACCTTGGCTCATGCCTGCAAAGTGTGATTTAGCTAGCAGAAGCTAACCATTAGCATCAGCAACACCACTCCTCCAACCAACGTAGGTTGTTAATTTTCTGTATCTACTTTATCTGATTAGGGTCAGGATTATCTGAATTTTATGCAGGTCGTCAAAAAATAATTGTAATCATTGTACCAAAATCACAGACTACACACACACACACACACACACACACACACACACACACACACATACACACACACACACAGTGGAATACACGATCATGCACTACTCTGTAAGCGAAGACACACACACACACACACACACACACACACACACACACACACACACACACACACACACACACACACACACACACACACACACACTGTGCTAACCTTCGCTAAGTGCTCTTATCTGTGACTTGTGTAAAGGTGAGTGACAGGGAGGGTGGTGCAGGGGAAGTGTCCTTTAGGTATCTTAATTATGGCTCCTCTCCTCCCTCTCACTGTCACCATCCCCAGGGGAGGGCAAGACAAAAGGAAGGCAATGTTTCATCTCTGCTGCCTTGGTATTTTAAAATTCCAGGGGGAGTGAGAGGAGAGAGACAGCAGGCTGTTTCTTTGGAAAAGGAAAGAAAGAAGACAAAATCAAATGACGCCTCTCTTTTCCCTCGTTTCCTGCCTCCTTTGCAGCTGTGTTTAAAATAAGGCATCTTAATAAAGGCATTTTAATGGCGTCAAGGCAGGGAAAAGAGGCACAACTTGATTACTGCGACAGTTTTATTTAATGAGCTCAACGCCTCTGGCTTTAACTTGCTATTTGTTTATGACTTTGTTGTGGAAAGAGATATACGTGACAAAAGTGAGCACGGGGAGCGAGGGAATGAGGTTGAATTTTCTTTTAGTGGAAATCGACTGTGGCATTAGCAATCTTTTTGGCTATTTGCATCCGCCTCGGTCCCAAAACGGAACGTAGGTCTGCCGTGACTCAAATGGGCAGGTGTCACACACATTCACACACACACACCTTGCCACATCCTGTCAGTTACTGATGGGAATAAATGGAACTCACTGGATGCTGAAAGGAGGACGCATTTGAGGATAAATATGATTGGAAATTTAGTGAATGACATAAAAGAAGCGAGAGCGTGTTGTGGAGGCCCTAGGAGGGGGAGCTGGTAGAGTGATGGTTGTGATACCTGGTAAAGAGACATTAGAGAGATGCAGAGGGAGTCTATAAAAGCCAACTACTGCTTAATGCCTCTCACAAGTGTGATAAAAGCACAGAGCTGCAGCACAGAACGCTGGACTGTTCCATCCGAGCGAGCAGAGAGAGGGAGCATTCACAGCTCAACTTCTCTGGATACATGTTAATAGAAAATGATTCTGTGAAAGAGCCCCCACACACACACACACACACACATACGCACGCACGCACACACACACACACACGTATGCAAACGAAGCTTCTCTAAAAGGTCGGCTCCTTCTGTTTTGGGACACGAGACCCCTCTGGTGAAAATGTTGACTGAGCGATGCAAAGAGCGCTCTTAAAAATCAGATGGACGGCGATCCCATCAGTATTCCGAGAGCTCCGGCTCTTATAAATATTGGAAGGACACTGGTGGGGGGAAAGGAAACGGCCAAATGGTGCGTTTGAGAAATGGCACACCTGAGCACCACGCGGGATATCATCTCCTCCTGTCAGATCCCATCCCATTTGATCAAAATAATTGCCGCCTTCATCGTTGTCATCAGTTCTGTCATCCTCACTGGCGCCGTTCTCCATCTCATCACGCCGTTTTTGGATTGAGGAGGGAGTGTTTTTTTTTTTGTCAGATCAGATCAAATGCCTACCTCTCATCTGTGAAAATCACTCATGGTGTACCCCCTCAGAATCCTCACCACATTTATTGCTTCATTGCGGCTGACATTTTTTTCCAGCTATTTAGGTTTTTTTTGACACATATTTGATTGGTAGCACAGAGAAAGAGGCCCTGCTGTGTACAGTTAACTGGAAAATGAAGAAAGCTAATGTTAAAAATGAAATAAAGACATATGATCGCAGCAAGCCTCGAGGACTGACAGAAACAAAACAATACTGTCTTTTCTTTGTCAAGCTGCCAGATAAGCAACCATCAACTAACTGTGGTAATAAAAGAGCATCTATATTTAAAAGACGGGACAGACTACTTCCTCCAAATACATATCTGCGTCTCGCACTAGGGCTCTTTTTGTGAGGCTCTAACATCTCATCTGCTTCCACTTTAACAACGCTGCACAACACAAGCAGCCAGCCAAAAGCTCAGCGAGAGGAACGTCGGCTCACCCACAGGCAGACGGGCGAGTCCTGCAGCTCCCAACACACTCAGACTCTCACACACACTCCACCATCAGCCCACATCTGAGACACTTGCTCATTCACAGAGTGTCGGTGAGATAAAACACGCACCAAAGTCACCTCCAAGCGCGTCATATGAAGTTAACAGCCTACATTAAAGAGCTGTCCCATATTAAAGCCAACCAGTTTGGGATTAAACTGCAACATGTTGTGGAAAAAGATTTCCTATAAAACATCTTTATGGTCCAAACTAGTTTGTATTTAGGCTGTTAGGTTTGGTAAATGCACAACGTTGAGCCCTCAGAGGGAGATAAATGTGCCACAAAGGACCCGTTTACACTTCCGGGTAATTTTACCGGAACTACACGGTGTGCACGCATCTCCGTTTCACAAGGCAGGTCAAAAGAGAGTCCTGTTTGGGCCATTTCAGGAACCAGCCGAGTTCCTGCGTCAGAGTTCGAAACCAAACACGACCACGTAAAAGTCGAAGGGCGGGGCTTGTGGATAAATCGAGCTGATTGGTTGTAAATCAGTAAGAAATTATATCAGCAGACGTCCCTAAAATGGGAAACGTGGCTTGTGAAGCGGAATGGAAGAAAAGGAAAAACAGCAGGACTGATGGTGCTTTAGAAATGTGGTTTCTACACTTCCAATGCAGAAAAACGAGGTGAAAATTCCCCCACAAGAGTCCTGGCACCCCCCAAGGCGCTTTACAGCACAATCATGTGTGTGTGTCTGCTCTGTCTTCTCCATCCCCAGTGAGTCGTGGAGGATGGCTGCTTATACTGAGCTGGGATCCTCTGGAGGTTTATTCCTGTTAAAAGGGAGTTTTCCTCTCCACTGTCGCTACATGCTTGCTTAGTATGAGGATTGCTGTAAAGTCACTGACACTAGTCAGTGACTTGATGCAATTTGCTGGGTTCCTTATATAGGAAACATTATTTCTGTTTGGCTTAATGAACTGACCTGGATTGGAATGTTTATTATGTGATGTGCCTTGAGACGACTCTTGTCGTGATTTGGCGCTATATAAATAAACTTGAATTGAATTGAATCAGTGTAACAAAGCCATGATTTACTCCCCCTTTTGGTCTCCTGCAGAGCACCGTAAAAAACGCCGTCTCTGTGGGCAGCTGTGGCTACATCGTAGCTCATCCCCACCAGGGTGTGAATGTGTCTGTCTGATTGTGTTGTAAAGCACCTTGGGGGGGTTCCAGGACTCTAGAAGGCGCTATATTAAATGCAGCCCATTTCTCTTCTGATCACTGAATGACGATCTTTGCGTTTTTCTTTAGTCGCACCGGAGTTGCCGGCACAGCACACAGAAAGGAAAAGAAAAGAAGTAGCATTCAAAATCCCCATTTCTAAACTTCAAACGCTGGAAAAAGCGGCTGAAATGAACTCAATGCCATAATTTATGCTGCTGTGTGGTCTCCTACAGAGCGATGTTTCTTCTGGTCATCGATCGCTGCTTTTTACATCACACAACCGCTCTCCTAGTCCTCTTGTGAAATTAAATTCCAGCAAACTTTGACAGAATCAAACTTTTTAATGTTATTAGTGTCCGTGGACGCCTTAAGGCTCTAACCAGCAACGTCACTCACAGCTGAAGAAGTTGCGACGTGCTAACGTCTTAGCAAAGTCCTGAAAGGGCACACTGTATTTTCCCCATCACCTTCCTCCCTTCCAGAAACTCCTACAGCCAAAACACCGCCGAGGCGATAAGGAAGTGAAGATGTGTTGACGCGCTCCTTACCTTGGCCATTTGGGCCTGCACCCCGGTGGCTTTGAGAGACGACACGGCCTTCTGTGCTGCAGCTGGACTGTCGAAATCCACAAAGCCATAACCTTTACAGAAGACAGAAAAAATAATCAGACATTCGTTCGGAAGAAATGAAGGCAGATGACTAACAAGACGAGTGACAGGCACTTGGTAATTGTAGCAGTAATGGGTTGGTAACACGACTACAGAGGCTGCCAGTTCTCATATCTGGTGAGCACTACATTGTTTGATAATTAGCGACACTGACGTTCATGGGGGGATGCTATGCATCTTAATTAGTAGCATGGATGAGCGATTTAGTAATAACAAACCCCCAGCACCCTGCCCACCTCTACCTCTACACACACACACACACACACACACACACACACTAAGAATGTTGCCATTAAAGTAATGACCCTTTATGGGAAGTCCATGATTTCAAATCAGTAACCAGAGAACAAACAAAAAAAATAAATAAATAAAAAAAACAGAAAAGAGGGAGAGACGTCGGTTAAATCTTCTAAACATTCATTTTCACTTGTTCCGCCTTTTGATTTCTCAGAGCCTGTGAAACTGGCAGACCCACGGCGTGTTCCTCAATGGCCGACATATTAACGCAACCCCATTTCACAGCCTCCCTAATCCTCTCCCCGGTAACAAATCTCTCAAAGGTCGACAGCATACCAGAGCCGCTGCCGTTCCTCTCGCTGCCTCCTCCTTCAGTTCCGTCTGTCTCGCGCACTCATAAAGACACACTTTATAAATTTCTCAGAATTGAACCTCTCCGTTCATCTTCCACTGTCTCTTTCTCTAAAACACCCCCCCTCTCTCTCTCTGTCTGTGTGACTCTCACATTTTTCGTGACATTAACAGTCGCCGGCCCCATCTGGAAATTCATCAAACAGGGAATGAAATCTGCGGCTGTGATTTATGAGTTATTGTGATCCCGACGTTCTGCGGGACGTATCGGAGACGGGGGGGTCACGTCTGTGTTAATTAAAATTTGGTGGCGGATTAAAAGCAGTCAATGGTGCCCTCTGATCCACTGTTTCAGAAGGAAAGTGTAATTAGAAAAGGATAATAGCTGTGAGATTTGTGGGGTGGGGGGAATCTACAACACCTCACTTTCTCATTAAACATGTGCAGAGTTTAGACAAACAGCGGAGACGTGTCTTTCTCTGGTATTGGACGTGAGTGGTCATTTTCCTGTTGGATGGAGCCGGGGGGGTTAATGTGAAAATCATAACCTGTGGCGAAGGAGAAATCAAGCGTGAGGACTGATTAATGTCCAGCTGTTAGAGCGGAGGTGGGCGTGGCTCTAACTGTGAAAATATGCAGAATCGGAGTAAATATGTGCAGATTTAAGCAGAAAGTCGTTCAAAAACCGGAAGAAATTGTCAGATGAAAGAGTCCAGTTCCCTTTATTAAAGATCTTAGTTCAAGCGCTTAAAATTCAATGTGGTTTCATTTAACCAAACACACACAAAAACATCTGCTTTATGAATTAATTTTATTAAAACCCAGACATTTTAGTACTTTTCTTCTTTGTTCACCTTTAAATCTGAACAAATCAGCCGATGGCTTTAATTTGACCAAGACAAAGATGTTAAACAATCATTCAGTTCTAACAGTTATTATGATTCAAAAATAATGAGGCGTCACCAGTGGTAATAAAGCAAAAGCTCTGGTCCCATTAAATCATGTGATATTTATATTTATACGCTCTCACTTAAGAGACTCGTTTCTGTTGAAGCCACAAAGACAGAACTGACAGTTTCATGCATAAAATAATAAATCTAATCAACTGTGATGTAATCAAAAAAGAAATAATGTACAAAAATGCAAATAAGGCTCCCCTTATGAAAGGATACCAAACTGTTTATAGACATATTATCAATGAGTCATAAACAATTCATAAATAATTATTAATTGCATTAATTAAAGGTGAGGAAAAGACTTAAAGAGACTATGTGTAATTTTTACTGTTAATATCTGGAAATACCCAATGGAATGTTGAAAATGAATGAAACAATACAAAGTTTTTGAAAAATATTGGCAGCTTTGTAACATATAACCACAAAAATCCAGACTACAATAGGTAGCCTAAGTCACGCCCATCCACTTAGGCACCATGGGTCCCCGGAAGAACGAAAAATGAATGCAAGTCAATAGGGCTAAAAACGCAATTTTATAATTCCGCTTGTTATGTGCCATGGATTTCACATATGATGTCTGTGAATTTTAAAGAAGCATTTCGATACGAAGAAAGCGCTTATTTTCGAACGGGGGAAACACTATTTTAGGTTTTGTGTGAAATAAGTCCAGGACTACAAACGCACTTCACGAAAGTGATGTCATTGAACCAGACACGGAGAAAACAGAGGGAAAATGGCTGTAAGTTCAGCAAACTTCAAATCCTTCCTTCAGCAGGAAAGAACCACCATAAATCTGGCCATTTGGTAAGTAGCAGTTACGCTAGGGGAGAGGGGATTATGCGGTGACGATGTTGTCGTGCTAATTATGAGTTTTTACAAGCTCATAAATCTCAATGTACGTGACTGGCGTGGTCAAAACACCCATCATTACTTTTCATTTAAATTGCAGTTCAACATCCAGGGTCTAAGGCAAAGCGGATTAGAAAATAGTTACTTTAAGTCCCGATGACTTTTATTTTTGCGTTCTTCTGGGGACCCATGAGCCGGCCGGAAAGGGAGGAGACTTCAGTTCCCAATATATGGGATCGGGTGTAAGTCTTCTACTACAGGAGCCCATGAGGACAAAATGCACTTACTGATTTGTAACAAGCGGTTGCAAAGCTTTCGTCGTTCATAAACATTGTTTTACACGTTTGCCTCTTCTCTGGTTGTCAGAGATGAAAGGAAGTCTGGTGCGCTTCCAAGGACTTTTGACCCTAATGGCCTTCCGTAAACAAGGTTTTACTCAAACAGAAAAATGCTTGCTTGTAAGGATTTAGATATGTACCGTCCCCTATTGCCAAGGCACATATACACCATTACTGATGGGTTTGCTGTACAATAGTGAGCCAAACCGGTTTACTTACTTATTTAAAAGTTGCAATTTGCTAAATGTATTAGAAACATTTTTAGATTCAGATTTCAGATTTAGATTTCAGATTTATTGGTCAAGTAAAATTACATTTACAAGGAATTTGTCTTCGTAAATGTAATTTTACTTGGCCAATAAATCTGAAATCTGAATCTGAAATCTGAATCTAAAAATGTTTCCAATACATTTAGCAAATAGCAACTTTTAAATAAATAAGTAAACTGGTTTGGCTCACTATTGTGCAGCAAACCCATCAGTAATGGTGTATATTTGCCTTGGCAATAGGGGGCAGTAGGGGTATAATAATAGCGTGTATTATTATACTTTCATGACTGACTTATACATATTCCAGGGTTTCCCCCAGCGCCTTATAAGCCTGGCGGCCCCCCGGGCTTTGCTTGGTCACCCGCCAGGCTAAGCATTATGCCCCGCCCTCCTCCCCGACCCTACCGTGTCCGCTGACACGAACGGCGCAACGAAACTAGGGCCCTCCATCAGCTGATACTGGTGAGAAACAGCAGAGGAACGTGTGCAACCCCTTCATCCCCACCCCTGCTCTCACGGAGAAGTGCGGACCCCCCACCCCCACCCCACCCCACGCCCCGACGCCCGAATCCGCCAGGCTTAACTCATAACTATGCATCTATGATGTGGCTCCTACATGCAGTAACTTTAACAGTTTTGTGATCAGGCCCATCTCGACTATCAGAACTTCCAGGTCATTCTACTGGAGTTGCCGCTGAAGCAGCATGGAAGTCAAAGGCACCCACTCAACGGCGTAAGTCACGCCACTGTGGTCTCCTACAGAGCGTCATCAAAAACTGCGATTCTTCTCACCGAACGCCACTTTTTACATCACACAGCCTTTCTCCCCGCCCTCTGTACTTGAATATAATAGAACTTTTTGCTCTCTTATTAACTCATTCACTGCCAATGACGACTAAAGTCGTCATTGGCATTTTTTTACTGTTTGAGCATTGGAACGAGCCCCCGCGCTGAGAGAACAAACATCTCAGCCCTGAAGCCGATCTTCATCCGCATACATCACAGATCACATGATCAGGAAGCAGACCATCCATGTGTTAGGAGATCGTTTTGGACCATTCCTGTAAAAAAAAGTGAGGCGCGAACCGGAAAAGCGTCTGCCGATCACAATTCGACAACGGATTATGAAAGAACGGATAACGCTCGAAACACGCGGCTTCTCCCTGATGTAAGAGGTGAGTCTCCTCTTTGTTTAGGTTGTTTTGGCATCGACATCATGCTAGCGTGCAAAGTTCTGTGACTCTTAAAAAAACAGTAAAAACGGTGAGAAACGCTGGCAGCGAAGGCCGTTAGGCTGGCAGTGAATGAGTTCATGTCCGTGGACACCTTAAGGTACTGATCAGGGATGGACCGGTCACATTATGCTGACATCTCGGCAAAGTCCTGAAGGGCTGATGGAGACATGACAGCTGGGAGGACCTTTGTCTCTCCCACAAATATTCTCCATATAAGACTATACATAGAAGGGTTTCGCATTGATGGAAATCTCTACTCTCAGAATGTTTCTGTCCTTTTATTATCTACATTGTGAGGATTTGTTGGAATATTTCAACAGTTCCTCCAGATGTGATGATTTTTACATGCAAAGGCTACATTAACTTCTAATTAAAGTCATTTCCTAACAAATCAGATCATCTCAGTTGTTCTGCTGGCTCAGATTCTTCCACTAATTGTTGAAGATTACAGCATCTCGAACATTATTTACTCATCTGTCATGTTCACTGACAGCACGTTTAGGGATCCGTGGAATGCAACCGTGGCATTCTGGGAAATTATTCACTTTAATAATCAGAATATTCCAACAGCGGATACTCGAAACCACTGATTACAAATTTAATATTCGCCCCCATTACCACCTGGAGTGCACTTATCAAACTTTAAACAGGATGAGTATTTTAGAAACGCTGACCCATATTCTGACTGCAGGAAGGAGAGATGAAGGCAGAAAGAACAAGAGCGAGGGAAAAGGTGA